ACACACACAACTCACATTTAACCCCTTCCCATTCTCTCTCTCTCTCTCTCTCTCTCTCTCTCTCTCTCTCTCTCTCTCTCCCCCCCCATCCACACCCCCACTCCCTGCGCACCCACGGGCGCGCTACGGATCGGAAAATGTCATACATGAACTCGCAGAGGGGAGATAGGGACCATACGCTGTCCATCATTCACGAGAACAGCACCCATTAGTGCAATCAGGGGTCGTGCAAGCCATGTATTCAAAAGGGGACCTCCTCGAGTAGAAAACAGCATGGGAAGCACATCAAGGCACGCCAACGAATGCCGCAACCAATCAACCAGCAAGCGGACAAGATGCTCGCCGGTCGCACTTCTCCACATAGTTGTTCACATGTACACCCCCTTCAAAATTACCGCCGATCTGCCCTTCTTTTATAATCCTTTTCTTTGCCATAGCAACACCCCCTCCCCCGCCCCCCAAAAACCCCATTCCACTTTCACGTACCCTTGAAATCTCGTCATTACCTCAGATCCATGTTTGTGGACAGGCTCATTTCTCTCGACATTACAGACAATCCGCACCATTTTTCCATTCTTTCGTTTCTGTACTAGCGATGCTCCCTCCCTCATATCTTTTCCCCAAAAAAACATTAAAAAAGCACTTCACATCTTCCCTGCCACAATATCTTTCAAGACCAAACCATTCACAAACTGACCATTCATTTGGACCACAATCACTAGCAGCTCATTGTTATCAGAATATGAATCTCCCTGGAAGTCGTGGGCATTCGTTCAAAAGGCCCAGGCGTTAATGTTCAGGGAAGAAGATAGAAGCAATGAATATCATCCCACACTCAAACAGGCACAGCCAATGATCACCGGGTCCGCTGCATAGTTAACCATCACTCGCTCTGCTCTTCCATTCCCCATGTATCCTGTCAATTTCCTACCCCCAAGCTGGAAAGACGCTGCGCATGTTTCCAACCCCCCCCCCCCCCCCCCCGACAAAACGACCCCGCCTTCGTCGCCGCCTCTTCCTCCCCCACTTGTTCCCCTCGCTCACAGCAATCCACGCAGGTCATCACACATCCACAGAAGCAAAGATTAGAGATGCTCGCTCACACCAATCCACGCAGATCACCACACATCCACAGAAACAAAGATTAGAGATGGTACACAATTCCCGAACCTCTGCGCAGTGTATCTGCCTCTGGATGACAACGAAACCTGAGGCCAACCGCGAGCAAAGAATGAGATAGAATAACGGCTGAGAGGGATGCCTTAAGAAACAGACGACAGAGGAGGAGAGGGAGCAGGGAAGGAGGACAAGGAGCGAGGGAGGGAGGGGAGGGAGGGAAGGAGGAGGGGTGGGGCCAAAGGAGGAACAGAATGAGCAATGGGATAATTTTTCGAGGGATTGATCGAGAAAAATGTCGACGGTCACTCTTTGGTAGGCGGAGGAAATAGCTTGGACTTGACCCAATCAAAGGGCTGCACAAGCCAGACGGCGCCTATCACTGCAGTGGCACCCCACGTTCCCGCCGCCACAAGATCCGTCCGCTGCGGACGCATCGTCGCGGGAACGAGTTTCAGTATTGCCGAAGCTGACTTGGCAGGATTCCCCATCGCGCCGCCTTGAGGAGCGATGATACGCGCCGAGTGATCGAATCGGGGTAGTGCTACTGCACCTTGAATACTGACACTCCTCGTCTTCCCCTGCGCGGGCAACCAAGAACAACCTGAAGACCTCTTCAAAATTGCAGACGAACGCCCCACTAATGTGGCGAACGGAACTTGGCTTGCCGATCCGTCTGTTATCGTGAAGGCTGCATTCAATCCGAAGCGAGCCTCCGAGAAGGCCTGGACGGGGCACCACTCACTCCACGGCGGAGGCAGTGGCTTTACCCAAGGTAGTGCCAGCAGGACGCTCAGAACCACATGTGGCACTTTGGCAAATCAAACGGTCCTCGCGTGTAAAAGGTCGAGGGCCTCTTTCGGCCAAGCTCACACCACTGCGCCACGCAGAGCGTGGGGGCGCAGCCAGGGTAAAGTAGAAAAGTAGTTGTAGCGGGGAAGTGGCGCTCAAAGCCTGCGAATAGCCTGTGCGAATAGACTGTATCGATCACTTCGGTTCAATATAATAATAATAAAAAAAAATAGCGGGGCCCGGGTCTCACTCTCTTCGTGTAGTTGTAGCTAACAACACGGTGCGACACTTTGGGTAGGCATGCAGGTGGCATTCGCCTATGGAGAATTTTTTTTTTCCCTTTTTTTGAAGTTCTGGCCGATGGAGAAGCCAGGAGGGAGATCCCACTAGCCAGGTATGTGGATTAGTGTGACAGGTGGGGGACGGGTGGGGGACGGGTGGGGGACGGGTGGGGGACACGTGGGTGGCAGCGTGAAATAGGGAAAATAAACGTAAAAAAACAAGGGCAAGAGTAACTCCATACACCATTTGCTGTAGGTGAGGGGATCGAACCCTCCCAAACACCTCCCAAAAAATAAGGGGGCACATGCATGTCAAAGGAAGAGGACAAAAGCATTGCCCATGTGAAACAGTTGCGTGGACTACAGACAACTTGGACGAGGGTCTGACACGGACTGACATTCCCTCATGATGGGAAACACCGAAAAATTTTGTTTTCGGCCTCTCTTCCACGCATGGGCCACAACCCAAAGGTGAGTGAAAGGTGAGTGAAAAGCAACACAAAAAAAATGGGTCTGATTTTCACTCACGTTCGGGACGCCCAGAGGAACACGGCAAGCAAAACAAAAGAAAGACCACCCAATTGGATGCCTAAAAAAAACATATATTTTCGAGGGCTAAAATACAGGAAAAACAAAACCACCGATCCCCATTCCCATCGACAGCGGAGGGGGGTCACACGCCCTCTACACTACTCCACATACAATTCTAGTGGGATCTCCCTCCTGGATACTGTTCTTGGCCCTGATGGTACGTTATTTCTTTTTTCCTTTTTTTTATATTAGCTAAGAAAAAAAAAAAGGAAAAAAGAAATAACACAGTTTTAATTGACCTCGCATTGCCCGCGAAAGCCTTCGAATCGAAAAGCGTAAAGCTTGCAAAAGCCTTCGAAAAGCTTACGACTGCGATAGAATGAAAAACGGAAAAAAAAAAAAGAAAATCCAAAACCTGCGAAAGCCTTCGAAAGCTTATTGGAAAGCTTCCCTCTCTCACGAACTTTTTCATGCATGAAAAAAAAAAGAAAAAACAAACACCAATCCATCCAGAAAAAAACCCCGAACCCCGTAGCAGCCACATACGTGCTCAAGCCTCCAACGAGGGAACATGCGGGAGCTGCACCCACGAACAGGTGCGATACCTGCAACAGCAGGTGGGCGATGCCGACCAGGGGAATCACATTTAACATTTATTTATTAAAAAAAAAAAGGGATCCCCCCCGCCCCCCCCCTCTATACAGCAGGTACCCCTGGCATCCAAATTGTCGACGATCGTTGACAAGACCCTCTCGCAGGCTTTGGTGAAGTGCACATCTGCACATACACCCTCGCGTTTCGAATCCTCGACTCGATTCGAACTCGAACGTAAACGAGAACCACGACGAAAAACCTAAGAGCTAATATATATAAATATAAAAAAAAAGGAAAAAAGAAATAACAGAGTTTTAATTGACCTCGCATTGCCCGCGAAAGCCTTTGAATCGAAAAGCCTAAAGCTTGCGAAAGCCTTCGAAAAGCTTACGACTGCGATAGAATGAAAAACGAAAAAAATAAAATAAAATCCAAAACCTGCGAAAGCCTTCGAACGACGCAAAAGATGGCCAATCAAGAAAGAGAAGACAAGACCGTCTGGGTGCTCTATTTGCTGGTGGCTGAGTCGTGGATTTTGATGACCCCCCGCTCCCCATTTTGAACCCAACCCAAAACGAAGTGAAACGGCAACCGGAAAAAGATTGAGTCGTCAACACATTGATGACCCCCCGCTGCCCATTTTCTCCAAACCATTTCTCCTCACCCAAAAAGGAAACCGGGTCGCCGCCCGCAACAAACCCGGCTCATTTGAAGTCCACGACATTCCCAAACGGGAAAGAAAACCTTGCAGCAACCCAGGTAAGCGCAGCCTCGGCTGCAAACACTATACAACCGTTCCGCCCCTACCCACCAGTACCTCGCCCAGCTACGCAGTACGACCCTCAGGCAGTATGCCGAGCCTGTCGAGCCTGGGGGTACCAGTAGCAGGGGAGGCCGAGCCTGCAAGAACCATCAGCAAAAAAAAAAGAGGAAAAGAAAAAAAAAGCATTTCCCCCTGGGGACGTGAATGCAGATGGATACATTTTCGTACTACTAGTGTGAGCATGCCGTCAATGAGAACCTCAGGGGGGCCGTCTCCTTGCTGTCAGGATAGTTAGGAGAGAGAGGAGATTCTTGGGAAACTCTTCACCTATGTCCGCCTCAATTCCTCAATTTAAACAGGCTTTACGCCTAGACATAACAGCAGATTGGATCAGACTTAAGAGCAATACAATAACCTTAAAATTGGCTACTTCGCTGTTTAGGAAAAAATGGTTTTCCCCCTTCCAATGGGCAAATCTTTCTGATGACAGTAAGTTATATTCCTCAGATCTCCTCTGGGATCACCCCCCCATCAGTTCTTAGGACAGAGCAATAGGAATTTTTTCTCTTAGGATTCCCCTCGGTGAACCATAGCTCATAATTTTTTTTTATATCTTTTTGTTTCTTAATCTTTGTCAATGCCCATGCCTCTACCCTAGTAATTATCCAGCGGCCTAGCTCAGTTGGTTAGGCATGCAAGCGGCATTCAGGAGGTTGTGGGTTTAAGCCCCATGGCCGCCTGCGGCGCACTTAGTGCCAACGGATTGTGATAGTCCTCTGGATACCCCTGATCGGTATTAGTGGGGTCTATGACCAACACGGGTGTGAGTGTGAGCGCGAGTGGGTTGTGTGTGGTGTGTGGGAGAGTGTTGGCCATAGCCTCTGCTGCTACTCGATGAAGGGTGGGGGACGATGAGAAAGGGAGGCGCAGCTACTACTGGCAGGTCTCGGTCTTTGTGTTAGCCAGATCCCCACTGGCGGCCCCAATCCTATACCCTAAACATTAGGGGGCAAGGGGCAACATGAAATCTCCCCTTCGCAGCGAGAGGAAAACTATGCTTGCAGGGGTCCCCTCTAAATAGCCTTAGGAGTAGCCCTAGGAGTAGCCTTAGGAGTAGTGGTAGGTAGGTAGTGAAAGCGAATTTTGAAGAATTTGAAAGATGATGAAAGATTTGAGAGAACCCTAGTAATTGAGGGAAACTGTCTCTATGGGAGCAGTGGCTAAGGCTTTTCCGGCCCTAACGGGAAGAGGCGTGTGAGCTGGTGTTGTATTTGGGCCTCGCCGCACGGTACGCGAAACAGAAAAAAAAAACCACTTCGTTTCGTGAGAGTGTCGCCGCACAGCACCCACGCGACACCTGTCAGGAAAAATGCGAGAAATGTGTCAGTTTCACCTTTCGCGAGCGTGGGCATGTGCAACAACTTTTCTTGCCTGCACCTCGTGCGAACTCACAGGTCCTCCGGAGGTGTGGTGGTGGAGCTGCGAATTCGCGTCGGTGTGGCACATCGCTCCAAAGAGCCTCGGTGCACTGTTTGGACACTTGAGTACGTCAGGCCTCGCAAGGCTTCACGGTAAGCACGCGAACCCGAGCAGAAAACTTACCGCCCTCAAGCGGACCCGGGGAGTGTCGGGCCGTTCCTGGGACCCGAACCCTGAGAAATTGGAAACCGCGAAAAATGCTGCCACCGCCGCATAGCACACACGAACCCCGCATGAACTCGCGTGGTCGCTACCGCGAGAGAATTCGCCTTTGTTGTGCGGCGGTGGTCCAGTTAACGAAACGAAACGCTTGAATTCGGCATCGCGAGGCCTCGCAAGTTCTTACCTCGTTTCGTTTCGTTTTTTCAACCGTGCGGCGAGACCCTTTATCAGTTTCAATCTGAGCCTTGGGCACTGGGCCCCGTGTTGTTGAAAAAAAAAAAAAAAAAAAAAAAAAGGAAAAAGAAGAAGAAGAAGATTGCATGAGCCTCGCGTCCGAAGTTCCGGTACAGCAAGGTTCGTCCACTTCCGCTTCCATCAGGGCTGGGAGGTTGGCCCAGCCTTGGTGCTTGTCACTGCTGTTTGGTCCAAGTTGCCCTCTATACTGGTAGGGTGAGGGTCCTGAGTGCTGGTCACACTGAGGTAGGATAGTAGGGACAGGGGGTGTGCTGGGAGTATTAACGTGGGAATGGGTAGGGTAGGTGGCCTATCCTGTCAGGACAACCATTGGCTGCCGCTACTAGCAATCACCGTGGGTCTGGTCCTTGGCCTCTACAACACTCTGGGCTTAAAAAAAAAAATATAAAAAAATCGGTTGT